CTGGGGGATGAAGGGATTGAGAGCAGCCCTGCCGAGAAGGACTTGGGGGTACTGGTGGATGAAAAGCTGGACATGAGCCAGCAATGTGAGCTCGCAGCCCAGAAGGCCAATCATATCCTGGACTGCATCAAAAGAAGCGTGGCCAGCAGGGCGAGGGAGGGGATTCTGCCCCTCTACTCGAGTACTGCGTCCAGCTCTGGAGCCCTCAGCATAAGGAAGACATGGACCTGTTGGAGCGGGTCCAGAAGAGGGCCACAACAATGGTCAGGGGGATGGAACACCTCTCCTATGAAGAAAGGCTGAGAGAGTTGGGGTTGTTCAGCCTAGAGAAGAGAAGAGAAGGCTTCGGGGAGACCTTATTGCAGCCGATCAGTACTTAAAGTGGGCTTATAAAAAAGATGGTGGCAAACTTTTTAGCAGGGCCTGTTGCAACAGGACAAAGGGGAATGGCTTTAAACTAAAGGGGGGTAGATTTAGACTAGATATAAGGAAGAAATTTTTTACGCTGAGGGTGGTGAAACACTGGCACAGGTTGCCCAGAGAGGTGGTGGATGCCCCATCCCTGGAAACATTCCAGGTCAGGTTGGACGGGGCTCTGAGCAACCTGATCTAGTTGAAGCTGTCCCTGTCCACGGCAGAGGGGTTGGACTAGATGACCTTTAGAGGTCCCTTCCAACCCAAACTGTTCTATGATTCTATGATTCTCATTGCTAAATTCTGAAAAATGGTATTTTTATGTAAAAATAATAATTTGAGTATTTTGCTTTTCTGAAGAACTTTCAAGAATGCTTGAAACTTAGGATTCAGTTATAAATTTAGACTCACATTTGTGAAGAAAATGCTTTTTTCCTGTTTTGCAGTTGAAGACACTGAGTTATATTTAAAAAAAAAAAGAAAAAAAAGATTGAAGCTTTAGAGTTAAGCAGTATCCTTCTTTAGAATTGGACTTTTTCACAAATTAGCATCTTCTAAGCTTTCTATGCACCAAACAAACTTCTAAACGAAAGGGTTCTTTCTTTACATTATTATCGATAGGTGTTGCGTTTCTATTTAAATAGGAATCTTCTGTAGAAAGATTTATTGGTTATACTCTAGAACAGCTCATACAAAGTAGCCATTTACTTCGTTTCTCATTTTGTTCATCACTGGAAGACTGAATAAGGGTACAGGTAAACAACACTAGCGAATCCTGTACTTAGAAAGAGCCCTGCAGTTTTGTTTGGTTTTCTAGTGATTTGTTTTGTCCTCTTGATTAATTTGAGATTTCCATTCCAGTTTCCATTACTGATTCATGTCCAGGACAAAAGCCAGAAAAGTCTGTCCTGGTTGATTCCTCTCCTACCCTGCCACTACCCCCAGTTTGTCACTGTTCGGTTCTAGCTGTGGCGTGGTGTGTTCTGGGCTGTGAGCCCCAGCGTGCCCAGATTGTTCTCCCTGACGGGCAGGCAGAGAAGACATGACTGCTCAGGTATCTCCTCAGTATGATGCTTGAACGTGGCTATCATGCTTCATTAAACTAAGGAGACACTTCTGGGTTCCTTAAGTACATGGACTGAGCCTTTGTGTCCTAAAACATTTACTTTCTTTTATTTAACTGTACCATAGTTAAGCCTTATGAAACATTTTTATTAAACATTTTTTATTAGAAGTTTGGCTTAGATTTTTCTCTCTGTTCATGTTTATTGTTTATAATAGCATCCCAGAGTGACCTGTTATGGTGATCATAATACACGTGTGAAGTCCTCTCTGGCCATTTAAACTTCTGATGGACAGATCTAACACAATCAGTAGTGCTGACTGCAAGGGAAGATTGTACATAATGAAATAACAGCATGCCAAAATACATGGCAGTGTGATGTGCTATTAAATCCCCAAAGTGACACTTCATTATAACCTGTCAAAATTTGTCAGGTGTGCTTGTTTACATGTTGTTATTTGGTTCTGGATAGCTGTATTTTCACACAGGTGCATGTGCTTTTGAGGTTAGGTTGTGAGGTCTTCATCTTCAGGTAATACTGGTCATGTGTTTATTCCTCTTGTTTTACAGATGTCTGTTGTGATGATTGTAATGTTCTTGGTGGCATGGTCTCCATATTCTATTGTGTGTTTGTGGTCTTCCTTTGGAGACCCAAAGAAAATTTCTCCCGCAATGGCCATCATAGCTCCTCTATTTGCAAAATCTTCCACATTCTACAATCCCTGCATTTATGTTGCTGCAAACAAAAAGTAAGTGTTCCTCGTTTAGTACCGGTCTACTTCATGATTTTAGCATATCATCTAACTATAGAAGGATCACCTGTAAAATACGACAGACTGATTAGTGAAGAGATCAAAGGGTCAGCCACTGTCAATTTACCAAAGATGACCTTTTGGACAGGAAAGTCTGAAAGAAATTGTTTTGATCATCATCAGAACATACTGAATTGGTAAAGATTTTTGAGAACACATTAACGAAGCTTTTGCAAGATAGTTTTGAAAGTCCCTTTGTGGTTTCTCAAAGGGACTCATTACGGAATTTGGGTTGCATCAGCAGTAGACTGGTTTTAATGACTGTGGCCAAAATGTGTGGTGGCTTAGTGACATGTAACTTCTGTAGATTTCCTTGCTTGATTTGGGATGTGTCATATGCTGACTGATTAGGATGGTTTGACACTTTTTGTTAAAGTAAATAAGCTAAGCCTATTCTTCTGTTTTGAGCAAGCATATCAAATGCTCTAACCAAGTCAGTGCCTCTGACCGAGAGCTGTGTTTTGCAAAGAGGCATCCTTCCTTTCTCTACTACCAACCTAGAAGCAGAGCCTGTGATCTCTGTCTAGGTGAACTTATCTGATCCTGCTGAGCCAATGAAAAAACATCTCATTTTTTCATTGTTCTGTAAGTTCATCTTTGTCGTGGCTATACCCTGTCCTGGGATAAGCAAAAGCTGCTGTGACCCCTGTTGTAGAAGAAACACTGAACTTAACTGAGTTATTCCTGTACATGGAAGTGAAAAAGACTCAGGTCCTTCTGAATTCCAAATACACCATTTTTCATTAAGTAAGTTTTACTAAAGTTGAAAACTGTTTTAATACTTAAGGCTGGCTTACCCAGTTTTTCTTTTTATTTGGTTCTCCAGCTAATGATCTTTCTGCTTTCCCTTCCTTGTCCTTTGCAGGTTTCGGAGGGCAATCCTGGCAATGGTGCGATGTCAGACAAGACAAGAGATAACTATAAACAATGCCTTGCCCATGAGTGTATCTCGAAGTGCACTGACATCATAGAACTCGTGTCATTTGCCTGCATAAGTTACATGGAAAGGAGTGAAATCTGGGTTAAAGTTAATTAATCTTTTTGAAGATTAATCTTTTGGAATAATAATCTGCCCCAGCCAGCCAGCTGTTTTCTGTTAATCACAGTAATCTTTTTACATAGGTTAAGAAGACAAAAAGACAAAAATCCACTAAGAGAATTTCTGAGAGTGAGGTTTGTTGGCCCAATATGTCTGTCCCAAATAAAAAAGGCTAATGAAGTGGTCACTGTGACTCTTACAGGGTTGGACAAGGTGACACAGGGGCAGGGAGAGACTGAAGCAGGAAGTGCTTAGGTTCTGTAACATAGACTTTGCGCCTGTAATTGCTTTCATGAATTACTTTCCCTCAACTTCCCTTGAAAGTTTTCCAGACCTGAAATATTCTGGATTCTCCCTGTGTGAATATATTTCTATACCAAGTGTCCATGTTGATATGCTTTGCAAATTTCTGTTTCTGCAAATGTGTTAAGATATCAAAATATCTAGCCAAACCTTATAGAACCTGCTATCAGCTTTTAGGATTTTGAAGGAGTTTCAGGATATTTAATGTATTTTTAAAGTTTTGGCTCTCAGAACCAAATGAATTTGTAGGAAACACAGATTTTGCTTTAGTAGTAGTACGTTTCTGGTGCTTGTGACTGCACAGCAAATTCTGAAAATGAGACAAGATGCACCCTAAAGCTTGACGCTTGGGAGGCACATAAAACTGAGTAAATATTTATGGTCATTTCTCATAATTTCTAAGTCAATCTCCTGGCTGTATAGGTCTGTTGTATAATTTTCAAAAAATACCTTTCGCGATGTGAGTGATGGATTTGTTCAGGATGGAAAAAATGACTGTGTATAGATCTATTTATGAATGGTAGTATATGCATTCTTGATGATTCTCAGATTTTGAGAATAAATATCTTCTATTATTATGTATGCATGCATCTGAGGTTTGGCTTTGCAGGTTGTAACTTATTTAAAATATATGGGGGTTTTTTGGTAAAAAACTGTTTTTACAGGATTTTTTTAAAAGCTCTGGAATCTAGGCTTCTTATTAATTTGTAATTTTTAGTATTAAAGAAAATGCCATGCAATATCCTCATGCTGTACTAGATTTCCTTCAGGAACCTTGGAACTCTTTATGGACAGTAACTAATGCATTGCCTCTTAGAAGGAGCAAAGAGATATTTTATTACATACTAACCCTACAAGCCACATATTAAAATAGCCTTGAAACATGCTGGATATGATTTGAAACAGAGTGTGTTCTTCTGACAGAATAAAGAATGAGCTGGTTTAACTGATCCCTTTCAGGATACATTTGAAGGTTAAGCAACTACAGATCTCAGCTAATCTGATGTAATCTGCTGTTACTAAATGGATGTCTACATTCATGTTCGTAGCACACTGCACACGAGTGCCTAGGAATAAAGTTTTCATATCAGTTCTGCTAGGAGGAAGCCATGCATCTATTTATTTACTTCTACCTCCTAATGAGCTTTTTTGAAGAAGTGCATGGTTTTTGTCCTTCACAATGCACTTGCGTTTACCATGGCAGAAGTGATGGCACTGGAACAAGGTATATATTTTATTATTTGTTATACAAGGCAATTTATAAGGAAAAGGGTTGAAGAAATTGGAAATAACATTCTCATACATTGCAAATTAGTTCTAGCATAGTTGAAATAAAGGTATATTTTACACTGGTGTTATGTGGCTAGCAGCATTCCTGAATAGGAGCAGATGGTGATTATGGCTTTGTACTTAGCAAATAGCTTCCCTAAATCTTCAGTTTTTGCAGAAGGCAATTTCTTTCTGCTTCATGATTTTCCCACTATTGTAATGGTCTTTTTATTTCTACAAACTAGTTGTCTACTGTAAGGTGATTCTGGTTTAAATAAATATGGTAGTTTCCTCTTTTTTTAATCTGCAGGAAAATCATGTAATTCTTGGTAATAAAGAGGTTAAGTTGAAATTTGATGATCTGAGTATTGTCATGTCAATTTTGGGAGACACTGTTTGTCAGTGCTACTTATTGTCACAACTATCTAGTATAAAGCTGCATGAGGAGAAAGTAAAATAGAGGAAGAATATAGAGAAAAGGGGGAGAAAAGTAAAGACAGGCTTATTGAGGGGAGGGGAATCTTCAAGCTAATATGTGCAAACAGTGTACCCCAAAGAAATTGAAACATACCGATTCTTGAAAATGCTGAGAAAACCCATTTCACTGAAATCAACGGGAGCAGAAAGTTCTTAGCACCTCTAAAAAGCAGGTCATTTCTACGTAGACACCAGAAAGAGGGCTAGAAAGCTGTCCTTTAGAGAAATATGCTAACATTTTCAATTTTCAGTCTATTCTGAAAGGTAAATATAGGCAGATACTTTGAATCTTCATCATGCAGAAAAATTAGAAATTAGTAATCCAATATTCTGAATTTTAGTAAAACAGACGGCATGCAGTTCCCACTTGAGATACGTGCATGTATTATTTGTTATATGTGACTTCTGTTTTTCAGTTGTCAATAGAATAACGGACAGAAGATGGTGCTTACATGCTTTAGAATAAAGCAAATCTAGATTTCATGTGAAAGTATCATTGCTCTTTTGTATTCTTTTTCTTTTTAGAAACTCCATGTTGCCTTTTCAATTTTTAAATGCAGAAGACTGTTCTTGATTTGATGTTCTTTATTCTGCTAGTAGCGTTGCAGAAAATAATAGCATTTGCATTTAAATCTGAAAGACAAATTTCTGATAAAGAAATGCCGATCTCTCCTTTTTTTTTTTTTTTTTGATGCTAGGTCTGTGCTCTGTAATGATCCTGACATGTATGAGATCCCTGTGAATGTTCCTGTGGATACTGTAAAACTTCGTATAGAGAAAACTGTCATACGAAGGATTCCAACTGAAGCCTTTTACTACCTAGTGGATCTCAAATACCTGTGGGTAACTTACAACTGTGTAGCCAACATTGATATCAGCAGTTTCTATAACTTGAAACAACTGCATGAGCTACGGCTGGATGGTAATCTGCTCTCGACTTTCCCTTGGGAATCGCTGGCAGAGATGCCCAACCTACGGACTCTTG